AAGCCGTCACCTCCCGAGTGCCCATAGCCTCGCAGCATAGTCAGTCTCTCCGCCAGTAAAAAAGGAGGATGAGAGGTTGGCAAACTTAGCCCATGCGCAGTAGACCATGATGGCGAAGGGAAGAAAAAATTTTTCTTTGGCAATCTTTATTCGTATCATGCCTAAGCGCCATCTAGATCCCCGAGCCTGGCGCCTGGGTAGGACACAACTGCCCTCTTTTGCTACGTCGACCTGTGGCAGAATGCTATGTACAATGTAAAAGCGACAGGGTTGGCTTTGGACACCTCCGGCGAGAGTCATCCATGGGCAACAGTATATATGGGGTACTGTGATGGTTGCTGACAGTGCCATGCTCTGTCTTGTCCCAGAGAGTCTCGTACGTTTTGCCCGGTCCTTGGGTCACTTGCGTTTCAGATTTGGACGACTCTGCCATGCGACACGGCGATTTGATTTGCTTGCGTTGCCCGTGTGAAAAAAGAGCTCCCAGACAATGCAGAGGAGTGTCATTGTTGCCTTTTGCCTTTGCTACTGGTAATGTGACAGTTGTTTCCGGGAGGCCCTGGTCGATTTATTCGTCAGCATAATATTTGTCGCGGTTTTGGTTTCTCATACACTTGGCACGATAAAGTGCTATGAAATGAAACGGCCAGATTAGTCCCAACAGCACACGATGGGATAAGCTGTATGTACACATGCTATGAGACGACAGGGATGATATGCTGTTGCATCGTTGCATCGACGCGATGAGTGTGGTGGGTGCGGTGGGTGTGGTGCATTGGGCATTTCCTTGTTGGTATCAGAAAATGGCAACTGCCACTTCGTGCCTCCGCAACCGAGGCATTGGAATATTCTAGACGCATGGCACGTGAGTGAAACGAATTTGCGTGGTCCTGATACATTTGCATATCTGGCGGCATCAAGCAGCAAATGCTATACTACTACTACGACTACCCAATACCTACCTACCCTGTACCCTGGACTGGTTAGTTTTTTTAACTATTGTCGTTTTTTGGTGACAATTGAGGCTACGACACTCACTGCTACGCATACTATTCCGAACCACACTCTACAGAAATGTTCTCCCAGGCGCGGGATAAGCCATAGCTCGCAGTGTATACGGGCAAAAAAAGAAAGGTGTCTAGATTCTGCGTAAACTGCCGTGCAAACCCTACACCCCTCTGAGGTCTTCACAGTATCCTCCAAAGGTAATCACAATTACCATTCGCTACTCCCGGCTACCAACAATACGTTCACGTATCGAAAATACGAGAGTACCATATTTTATGCGCCTTTTTGTGGCATCGGATGAAGGCAGTTCGCTGTCAGAAGATGCATAGGGTAGGACTGAGTAGAACAAACATTACATAAGCGACTGAAGCCCCTAGTAGCATAGGGCCGGCGGATTTTCCGACCCATGGTTTGTTTTGTCATGACCACCATGGGAGGCGCAGACTTGCCAATTGGTTGACACACCAGACGTCCCTCTGGACCACCAGTATATCTATTGACAACGACGTTTGAACTGTGCGGCATCGCGTTGACGAGATATTTCCATCACGGTGGTCCTAGTGTCCATCTCTGTTTCGAATATTTTACCTTCTCCTTTGGCGATTAAGAATAATAGTCGGCTGTGCCAGCAAACCGTTCGTCGGGGGAGTTGATTCCTGTACCCAGCATTCTGTGTCCGTCTCGACCCTCAATCGACCGTGACGACGACGAAATGAATCCCGCACAAGGACAAGCTCCCCAGCAGGCCCCGGCGCAAGGACAGCCAAGCGCTGCTGGTCAGCAGCCGCGGCCGCCGATGTACCAGCCAACCCAGATCAGAAATCTTCCAATGTTGAGCGAGGAAGAGAAGAACAAGTATGAACAAGGTCTTAAAGGGTTGTGGAACAAGGCCAATACCTCGCCTGCAAACAGCCCAGATCAGCTTGCAGCGAGACAAAAGATTATTGATTTTTCGAAAATGCTTATTAATAAGATTCAAGTGAGAAGGAACCAAGCTCAGCAACAACAGCAGGCGCAACAGGGCCAACCAGGGGGACAGCCTGCACGACCTTCATCTAGACAGTCAAATCCCCCCGGACAAGCTGCAGGAACGCCAACGACTACTCAACAAAAACCTCAACAGACTCCAGCTACCAGTCAAGGCTCACAGGGACAGGCTACCGCCGCCAGTGCCGCAGGCCCGACTCAAAACCAGAATCCCCAGCCTGGCGCTGCAGTTGCGGCCGGGGCAGCGACGGCAGCGACGGCACCGCGACTAAAGATTCCCGAACACGTCTTGCAGCATGTCAATAAAATTACCTTTCATCCACCTCCTCAGTTCGCAAATAAACCTGCGGCCGAAGTTACTAAGTGGATCGAAGAACTCAAAGACAAATACGCGCGAGCAATATTTACCATGGACGGCAGCAAGGCAAAAGTTGCTAGCATGGAAAAATTCTTTAAAGAAAGGACTGATGCCGGAAGACCGCTTCAAGACGAAGAGCTTCGGCAATATCAAAGCAGAAGAGACGCACAACTGAAGCTTTATCATGAAGCTTTGAAATGGGTGGAGAATGCTCGAAGACAGCAGGAGGCTTTTGCAAACCATCAACAAGCAGGCGCACAGGCGAGTCAAAATGGCACCGCCGCAGCAACACCGGGAAACCAGCAAACCAACACACAGGCGGCCCCTAATACGGCAGAAAACAATGCTCAAGCTGCTACACAGAACGCCACGGCGTCCGTCAACGCAGCCGTTGAAGCTGCAAAAACCCAGCAAAGTCTGGCAGCTGCGAGTCGTCCGTCTCCAGCAAACGGAACTCCTACACCAACACCAACACCGGCCCAAAGCCAACCGCGCCCTGTACCTCAACCGGCACAGCAACCCCAAGTGCAAGCCCAAGTCAAAACCGAGCAACCTCATCCACCTCCTGTCAACACTGTCCAGGCGCAGGCTGCTGCTGCACAGGGCCAAGCCACTGCAAGAGTACAAACTCCTCAGTCGGCCACACCTGCTATTGCGGGAGGTCCAACTCGTGCTCTGAGCCATTCTGCTGCAATGAATCTTGCAAACCAAAGGGCAGTAAGCACACCAAGTACCACTCCAGCTCAGAGTCAGGCCGCTTCTTCTGGTGCAGGTGTCGGTGGAGCAGTGAATCAGGGTGCTGTTGTGCCTGGTGCTGTGCAACAACAACAATCGCAGCAACAACTACAACAACAACAACAACAACAACAAGGTCACCCTCACGCCCACCCTACGCAAACACAAAAGATGCCGATTCCGAAGCAACTACCAGAGAAGGCAACTGCTGTTCCGCAAGGCGTTACTGTTGGCGGAGGCGTAACGGCTGGACGTCCAACCATGTCACAAGGAAGCGGGACTCTTGGAGGTGTTATGAACCAGCCCCCGGTAGCGAGAATCCCTGCCTACAGCCATGATGCTGAAGGGGACCACGTTTTGAGTAAGAAGAAGCTCGATGAACTTGTTCGACAAGTTTGCGGGGGCTCTGGTGACTCTCAAGACGGCAATCTTCTGACGCCAGAAGTCGAAGAGGTAAGAGACAAATACCTAGCACCTAGTAACCCATGAGAGCCACGGCAAAGATGTAAGAGCTAATATTCCCTCTCTGCGTACAGAGTATCCTGAGCATGGCCGATTCTTTTGTAGATACAGTGCTGCACTCGGCGTGTCGCAATGCTAAGGAGCGTGGGTCCAAATTGCTGGAGATCCGCGATATCCAGTTAGTTCTTGAGCGCGCGTATAACATTCGAGTTCCTGGGTATTCATCGGATGAACTTCGCACGGTCCGTAAGGTGCAGCCTTCACCTGGCTGGATTGCAAAGATGAGTGCGGTGCAGGCAGCCAAGGTGATGCCAGGGAAGGGTGACCCGTAAGGCGTTTTGGTGGGTGATACGAAGTAAAGATATCTTTCGATGTCTTTGCCGTTTACGTGTTTCTATGGGTAAAGGCTGGGCAGTAAGAATTGGCGTTTGGAAGGCTCATTTGTTTTTACGGATATACGGGTTCTTATTACGTTTAATTGCGCAACATCCAAGGACACCTCTAATAGCTGCGATATCAGCTTCGCAGGCCGAGAGAGGATCGTGTCATAGTAGTGGTGACACTGGTTCACCATGGACCGGGGCACCATCTCATTCCCAGCTGCAAAATACAGCTAGCTATAGCTCGACGTAGATGACGAGCGATTAATAGACAAGAAGAATGGTCTTGACCACGTTCAGCCATGCCACGTTGCCGCTGGTGACATGACGAGATGAATGGTGCAAGATTGTCGCGCCGTATTGGAAACGTACCAGCGCGTCCTGTAGACTTATGTAAGCAGTAGGGAAGCCCGTGAAGCAGATTAGGCACGGGATCGAAAACGTCACTTCAGTGCCGCCTGGCGGCTCCACAGTCCATCCAATAGCCAACGCTGCTGAGGTGAGCGGCTTAGAGCGCAGGACCCCAAGCCCAGGTGGAGGGTGTGTGGGCAGGTGCGAGGTGGTACCTGGCGTCGCGTGTGCACTGTCGCCTGGTCCAAGTATCCTTTTTGCCCCAATCTCGCCTGGCTCTTGTCGCCTGCACTGGCGCCGCTGCTCCGTGACCCAAAAGGTGGTCGACCGTCTCCAATCTCGAGCTCGAATCTTCTTGCACCTGAAGGCCCAAACAGCCACGACGTATCCGACACCAGACACCAGGCCTCGTTCTATCGCCCAACCCATCGAATTGCTGTGCAATCACCTCTCACCACGTACAGCCTGCATCAGTGACGAACCTGGTGCTTGTTGGCACTCGTCTCTCTCTCCTAATTGTCCGTCTCGCCGTCCAGACTTTGCGCGCCGCCCTAGGCAGAGAGGAAACACCAGACGTTGCAGCCGAGCACACACGAGCACGCGGTGGACTTCCAGGAACCCCTACTGCCCTCCATTGTCGCTTGTCATCTGTCCTCTTTTTCATTACAACTAGTCTGCTTTCCGTCGCACTCGAGGTACGCCAGTTAGCACCGGCCGCAATGCCCGGCAAGACGCCCAAGAGCAACGGCAATGAGCCGATCGAAAACGGCTTCAGGAATAACGGCGACATCGACATGAAAGACGCTAGCAAGACTAAAGGCAAGAAGGGTGCCAAGGATGGCGACGAGGAGATGACAGTTGTAGTGCCCCCATCAAAGGGTTCAAAACAAGCGTCCAAACAGCCTCACGATGCCGATGGTGACGTGTCGATGAGTGGTGAGGACACAGCCGACAACGGTGAGGCCAAGGTTGATCCTGTTGTCCAAACAGTAGCAGGTAAGTCTGAAAGAAAAAGCCACCAAGGAAAGAATAGACTGTCTGGCATATCTCGCCTCGCATGGACACGGGGGATGACTAGCTGTCACGGAGATATGCCCATGGTCTGTCTACTGGTCATGAGTCGCTAACAAGAGGTTTCCTTCCGTGGCGCTATAGATATCAAAAGCAACTTTGCATTATTAGATCGTGCTGTTGCATTGTTCGATGCAAGGTTTTCTCTACGGGCCCTTCGATCCATCTCCCTGATTCGCAAGCACCTGACGGCAGACATTATTGGCCAAGCCATTGTCGACACCTTCCCGGCTACTATCACATCTGGCAACATTGCGAAAACTCTTCTGGTTGCCATCGGCCGGGAGAGTATGCCTCTGGGCCGCCAGTCTGGTTCCGAAATGGATGTTGACTCTGTTGATACCAAGGCTTCTAAGAATGGCAAGAAGGAGAACAAAGAGATCATCCCGGAGATTGACATTTTCCTCGGCATCCTCATCCAAGTATATCTTTTCGATGCGAAGAAGTATCAGCAGGGTGCAGACTTCTCCAAATATCTTTCCGACCGCATTCAGTCTCTGAACCGCCGCACCCTCGACTCTCTCTCTGCCAAGGTCTATTTTTACTATTCTCTCTTCTGTGAGCACATCGGGCCCCTGCCGCCATCCCCCGAGTCGCCAATCGTCTCCATCCGCCCAACTCTGCTAGCTGCTTTGCGGACAGCCGTACTGCGAAAGGATATCGACACTCAGGCATCAGTCATTGTGCTTCTCTTGCGAAACTACCTCTTGACTTCGCACATTAGCCAGGCTGATTTGCTCGTCTCTCATACTCAATTTCCTGAGAATGCGGTTAATAACCAGGTAGCCCGGTTTCTGTACTACCTTGGTCGTATCAGGGCCATCCAGCTGCGATACACGGAGGCTCACGAGCATCTGACTGCCGCCACCCGCAAGGCCCCGTCCAGTAATTGCGCTGTTGGCTTCTCACAGACAGCAACTAAGCTTCTGATGGTTGTTGAATTGTTGATGGGTGATATTCCCGAAAGAGCCACCTTCCGACAGCCTGCTCTGGAAGACGCTCTTCACCCATACTTCTTGCTTGTGCAAGCTGTTCGTGTCGGCAACCTAGAGGACTTTGAGACGACGATTGCAGACCACGCTGATACGTTCCGACGTGATGGAACCTACTCCCTCATTCTTCGTCTTCGACAGAATGTCATTAAGACGGGTATACGTATGATGTCGCTATCCTATTCTCGGATCTCGCTGCGGGATATCTGTATCCGCCTCCACCTTGGCAGCGAAGAGTCTGCCGAATACATCGTAGCCAAAGCCATTAGAGATGGCGTTATTGAAGCCACTCTGGATCGTGAGCGTGGATTTATGAAGAGCAAGGAAGTTGGAGATGTCTACGCCACGCGAGAGCCTGGAGAGGCATTCCACGACCGAATTCGGGCTTGTCTCGCCCTGCATGACGAGAGCGTCAAGGTATGTCATCACATCACCCTAGAGTGCAGAATTCGCGGCGCAGGAGCAAGCTAATAAGTCGTTCACCCCAAGGCCATGCGTTTCCCAATGAATCAGCACCGCCTGGAGCTTAAAAACGCCCAGGAGGCACGAGAGCGTGAACGCGAAATGGTCAAGGAGATACAGGAAGGCGATCTAGACGAAGATGATCTAGGTGGCGACTTTGAAGGCATCTAACTTTCTTTTTTGCTTCTCCCTTGTGTCATTACTACAGCCACACCATGCACTATTATTATTATTTTTGTGGTATAAATGCAGCAGATTGGGCTTGCTTCCATTCGTGGGCATTGTGGCCCGTTTTCTCATCAATGTTGCCCTGTGAAGCAGATGGGATCCGGCATGGACTTACGTTGGGAGGTTGGCACCTGGTTCGTATCTCATTGATCACTCGCTGCAAAGGGAGTGTGGTTAATGAAGGGGCGGACGGTCTTAAGCCTTTGTACGAGGTGTTCCAGATATGAACGGGTGAGGAAGGCTGATAGAGCTCGACGGTTTTGTTAGGATGGACTCGGTGACACTAAGCCGTTGGCTTTAATATACGAGGCCCGCTATGCTCTGCCTTTGTGTATTAGATATTGCAAGGTGGCGACGTTGCGGTGAGACGCAGAATTGAAGTGACATTTCTTTGTATCCCACTGTTGTACTTATTAATGGCGATGTCGTGATGTTGCAACTTGGCCACTGGGCAACGTGAAGGCTGTACTGGAGAATATCCTTGAAGGGCACAAGATCGAACGTAGTAGCAAAAGAATAAGCCATGCTGGACAGTGGCAATCGATGAGGACGTCAAAGCATTTAGGCCCCCTCTCCAAACCACACGGCCTAGGATTCCGCTCCCAAAGCTCACATGCAAATCATGTACTCAGTACTATCCCAAACGCCCCGAACCAATAGAATCAAATAGGCCTGGTCAAGAAGCCCTTCGACTCAAACAACGACCATGGTGCCGAAATTTGGCATCTTGAATCTTTGCTGAAATAGCGCGCGGGAAACAAGCGTGATGGACTTGTTCACGTCCTTGGTTGGGTATTCTGGGCTAATCGAGATCTCAGATATGTACCTCAATAGATGTGGTATTTCGACTCGAGCAGCACAAGCAATCAAGTTATTTCTTGTCAATCCGCTATTTGGACCGCCGCCGCCTTACATGTCTTGTAATCGACCCGAGTATCCAGGCAGTGGTGAGGGTCGTGGCTGTTTAGGCATAGCAAATCGTGTCGTCTTCCTCATCCGTAGATTTGCCTCGACGGGACGCAGCCCGTTATTCGTTTGCTGGTCGAGACAGAGCTGAACTCCAGATGTCTTCAATTATCGAGTGCAATCCAATTGTTGGATTGTATCATTTTGTATTTTGCCAGCGAATGACCGTCGTTCAAATGAATCGAATTACGTTTCTGTCATACATATATTGACTCCCCCTCCACCGCGATTCATGTCTCCACATATCAAGCCGTCTCAGCTCCTCCCCCGTCATCCACCAACGCACATCTGGAGATGTAAATTAATTTAAGTTATTTGGTTGTCGTTGCGGTTGCCATTATTTGCCTTTTTAGGTTGCTCCGGCGAAGACTGCTCTCAGCCCTACGTTTACGCCCACTGCGTCACCTCTCACCACGACTTTGGAACCCCACTCTGTCAACCATCTTGCCATCGCAAACCCCATTTACATCCTCTTCCTCTGTGTTGACTGATCGCTGGCGTGGCGCAGATTAGGCAAGGCAAACTGAAAGATCCGCGGCACACATTCGATAGGCTTGCAGGCTTTCGCAAGACCATTGTTCCTTCGGAAGCTGCATTCGTGGCTCAACAACGGCTCGCACCAGTAGTAGCAACGGCCACCTGAACATCTGGCTTGGTCCCCGTGGGTGGATGCAATCTGAATGGCCTTGGCCATTCTGACATTGGTTCAATCACCGACGCTCGTGTATGTACGGCCCTGGACTATGGTTCCTGGGGCGGTAAGCCTCTTGGTAGATACCTATGGCCATGGCTCCCAGCACTGAGGTAATTGGTAAAAGCAGTCGTACCGTGCCTGCAAGAGAAGAACTGCGGAGGTTCTTTGACGTTCGCGCACGTAGAACCCTGGGATGTCTGACCTGTCGACAAAGAAAAGTTAAGTGCGGTGAGTTGATGCCGTTTATACTCTTCGGAAACGTAACCACGAGACGGTTTCATGCACCACTTGTGCCGGGAATTTATTGCTGTCTTGTCATCATCTACACGCTGACCAACCTCGCTATGAGCAGATCAACGTCGTCCAGAGTGTGATCGTTGTAAAAAGGGCATGCACCGTTGCCTAGGGTATGATGAACCATTTCTGTTCGTTAACCAGGCCTTGCCGGGGACGCAGGAACTTCGATCCAAGAAGTCAGCTAGACAGCACAAAGATTACTGGAACCAGAAATTAAGTTCCTTTGTGTCGGTAGATCAAGACGCCGGGACTCAAATTGCTCCAATGGTCCCTTTAGTAGGCTTCAAAGACAATATCGTCATCTCGCATTTCGTCTCCAACCTACGCATCGGCTTTGAGCAGAACCCTGCCAGCACTTCTGACGCGCCTACCATGCGTGCTGCCATGGAAAGCTTTGGCAAACGTACCAGCGCCTATGTATCTGGACTGAGTGTTGCTGAGACTTACTTCAGTCAGATTCACAAGGTTGCCCACATGCAGTCGCATGGCGCCGCATTGTACGGTCATGCACTTGGCCGGCTGCGGCTAGATCTCCAGTATATTAACAACGACTTTGATAGAGCCAGAGCGTTCTTGGGTCTCTGGACTGCATACTTTTTGTCTCTGTATGAGCTGATTTCCTCCTCAACTTCTGGGATGTGGTTGCAACACGCCCAGGGTGTAGCCACTCTTGTATGTCCCTTTGTTTCATTGGGAGACTCGCCGCACTGCGTGATCCGTTTTGAATTTTGGCTAATGTTATGTATGGTCTGCAGATCGAGATGCTCGGTCCTGATTCTTTCCAGACTGCATCTGCCAACGCTTTACTCGAAGTGAAGCGCCCATTCTTGGTAAATAAGCTCCTAGAGCCGGGACTCAACCCGATCTTTATTTTTTATGTGCGAAATACCAGGAGTTAACTTGTCCCAAGGGTATCTCTCACATTGTGATGCGAAAACGGTGCTTTCTAGAGGCTGAGGAGTGGAAGACGGGCCCTTGGGCTCCACAGCCGGACTCCAAACTTCCAGGCTCCATGTTAATGGATGTCTTTGTCACCCTTCCTGGAATCGTAGAAGATGCAGATAAGTTGAAGGCAGATGCTGAAAAATTGAGGAGCGGTACACTAGCTGGGGCTGCGGTCATGACATCCCGAGCGAAGCTGCAAGGCAGAGTCCTCTCCGCCATACACAACTTATCAGAATCTCGCTGGAAATGGGAAGATGTATACCCGCGAGTTTGCTGGAAAACCCGCATCAACATGGCAACAACACTGTGTTTAGACCTAGAGGGAAAGCCACTCTTTGAGACGTGCCTGAATTTCGTGGGTATGAAGCGAACTTTTGAAATCCTCTTTTACAATGTCAGCAGATTGTTGTTGTTCCGGCTGTCAGACTTGATAGGATTGAAAGAGGACGCAACGGCGAACATGGAACATGTTTGGCAGCGACACGGCCCTTTCTTGAATCCCCTGTTGCTCCCGGGTCTTGGAACGAGAGAATCTCACGCTTTGGAAATTTGCCGGATCGTGGACTATCTACTGAACGGTGAGCAGAACTACCACGGTGCCTATATCCTCCTTTTTCCTTTGCGTGTTGCTCGGACCCAACTTGAATCGTCACCCAAGGTGCATGACTGGATTGGCAGAGTGCTCAAGCAGTTTGCGGAAGAGAAAGGGTTGAGGGTTGGCGAGTACTTGAATGAAGTGAGCCAGACTGGCGACGGGATGACACCCAAGAAGGGTTGACACGATGCCACGATGCATATGCGTATCATAACCGCTGCAGTTCAGTATGTATGTAAACACCCACTGGTGAGCGAAGGCATGTGGAGGGTGTGTCAACCTTGGACGATGGTGGTACTGGAACAATAAATACGTGGCACACGTGACAACCGTAACAAACGCCGGTGTGATGCAGAAGGGAAGGAGCGAACTGCGAATAATCAGATGCAACGCGCGACGCCTGCCACATGATGGCGGATGGTGAGCATGAGCAGGAGCATGAGCAGGAGCTGGAAAGACTAAACTAGCAAGAGCTCTCTCTCCTCTAATGCCGTGCCCCTCGCAGCCACGGCTCGTTAGCCTTTTTGTCCATAAACACCATCGTCGCCGCCGCCGGCCGCCGTGTTTACGCTGCGCCATCTGGGCCGCTTAGCTTTTCCCATCCTTTGCAACTTGACTCGAACACTCATCGTGGCCCAGCACAATACGAGTTTATGCCGTGCCGCCAGCTCGACGGACCATCTCCACCCCTGGGCCTAGAGCCCCTCCAGCGTCCATGTCCGCTTCTCGTGCGCTGTCGAAACCGCAATCGCAATCGAAACCGCATGCTGCCCGTATTTCAGTTGTCGCATTCCGGCCACCCGCCCCTTCAATCGCAGGGACACGCATCACGCGACACGCTGCGCTGCTCCCTCCTCACCACGACCTCGAGCGATGCCCCAGAAACGCAGACGACTGGAAGAGCCCGCCCAACCAGCATTGGCTGAACAGTCGTCGTCGTTGCGTCGCACAACACGTCAAACGCCAGTCCTACCCCCGCTGCCTCCGACCTCCGCGGCCGTGGCCAAGGTGGCTCAGGCTCCTGCTGTGGCGGACCCAACGGCGATGGCGACCACGACTGTGACGGCAACTGCAACTGCAACTACGACTGGAGCAAATGGGCCTGGATCTGCTGTGTCTGGAAGGCCACAGCTCCAACCAACAGGCCCGGCCACAACTGCCTCGACCGCGACCGCGACCACGGTCTCAAACCCGATCGCGAATTTGCAGACACCCGTCCCAATACCCACGCCTCTAGGTTCAGGTCATCAGCAGCCAAATCGGAGCCGTGAACGACCGCAGTCTACCATCCCGCCGCCTCCAATCCCGCCTACTTATTCTCCGCCCGTTAAAACACCAGTGCCTGTTCCCGTCGTCACTCCCATCTCCCCTCCATCTATTCCCCGGCCTCCGCTACCCTCTCTTAGATCGAATCCTCCTGCAGGACGGAGCATGTCGGGCATCTCCATTAAAGATAATGCCCGCCCTTCAGATTTAGTCGCACCGGAGATATCATATCATGTGCCTCAGCTAGCTGTACCGGGACGGGTGCAGTCGTCGTTGTTGAGACCTCACGGCCCTTCTGCGCTGCCTCCTCGCCTGGATAGACGACCAGCGCCACCTGTTGTCACGCCTGTTCTGCCACCTAAGCCGCCCACCCTGCCCGTGAACGACCGCGGTCCACCCCGAGCAGACCGCAACATCGATAAGGTCGTGTTGGGGGACCTTTGTTTCCGTACTTGGTATCCCAGCTACTACGGAAAGGAAGTCTTGGGTGACACGTCTGGCAATTCCAGAAACGGCGGTGGTAGCAAGGACGGGAGCAACGAGGCGAGCGGTAAGGCCTCCAGGAAGGATAAAGATAATCAGCCGCTGCTAGAGAGGCTATACGTCTGTCCTAGCTGCTTCAAATACGCAAAGGAGCTGGTGGCGTGGCGTGAACATGTACGGGTTTGTGAACGAAAGGCCTTTATTCCAGGCAAGAAGATCTACAGGCATCCTCGCGGGCGAAGAAAAGTTTTAGTTGCCTTGGAAGGCAAGGGTCCTGTCCCCAAGCGACGGCGTGGTGATAGCGGTATACGGTACACGGAAGAGATAGTTCAGGATGAGGGGGAATGGAGCATTTGGGAGGTTGATGGCGAGAAACACGGTGTGAGTTTCCTACGATACATGGATGGCTCCTTGTTTTCCTTTCCTTTTTTCCCCTTACCTTTCGTCTCATTGCTTGGACTCCATCAGCCCCTTGACTAACAATATTGTCTTGGTAGCTCTTTTGCCAGAATTTGTCCTTGTTTGCGAAGTTGTTCCTGGATAACAAGTCGGTATTCTTCGACGTTACCGGCTTCAACTACTTTCTGCTCCTCTATACACCGCCCGCTAGGCCAATCGCTCCCGAAACCGAACCCATACAGACTCGCCCACCCCAAGTATGTGGCTTCTTTTCAAAGGAGAAGATGTCATGGGACAGCAATAATTTAGCCTGCATCTTAGTCTTCCCGCCCTGGCAACGCAAGGGACTTGGGGCGTTGTTGATGGGAGCATCGTACGAAATTTCGAGACGAGAAGGTATACTTGGTGGTCCAGAAAAGCCCATTTCTGACCTGGGCAAAAAGGGGTACAAAAGATTTTGGTCGGGCGAGATTGCCCGGTGGTTGTTGAGCCTAGAAAACACGGTGTCGCAGCCGCAGCCACCTCAAGTAGCTGGCGCTCCAGTGATGACTCAGGAGTTGATTGTAGACGTCAATGACTGCAGTCGTGGCACGTGGATAGCTGTTGAGGACTGTTTGGGTGTTCTACGTGACATGGGCGTGCTTGAAGATGCGGGGATGGGATACGGCAAGCCGGAGAAGAAGGCAGACGCCGCAGAGGAGGACGAATCTCGAGAGCCGCCAGAGGGTGGTGATGGCGCGGCTCATAAGCCACAGGATCTGGTGTCAAGGTCGGCGGAAGAGAAAAGGTCTCTGGCTGTCAAGGTCGTGCCCCGAGTGCGAATAGACAAGGAAGCCGTGAGGCGGTATGTGGCAACGCATCGTATCAGTCTCGAGCGGACGTGCGATCCGGACGGGTTCGTGCAGGGGTATGCAATGAAGGTGGACAGCAGCGGGAATGACGGTGAGAAGACAGGAGTTGAGACAGCGTAACTTGGTTTTGTTCTGGGGATCAACCGCCTGCAGGTACGTGCAGCATTGGGAAAGGTGTTTTGGGGTGTGATTTTTCAGAGATACCCTATAGTAGTAGATGCTTGAAAGCATAATGCCAATTGAATGACTACATGTTGTGTACGCGACCAGAACCGCGGTCGGGCGTTGTTTCGCCAGGTCGTGCTTGCCGAGGTCGGTCTGACGGATCAATACTTGCGCTGTGGTGCTGCCAATTGCAGTTCTGTCGCGGCGGACAGTTCTACGGATCTCTGTAGGTGTGACCATCGTGACGATGGAGCTAGTAGCTGTCCCCATCAGGAAACAAGCGTGCATGTCAGGGCCGGCGTTGGGAATTATCCTGCGGCTTTCACAGCCTCGCCGAAATGGCAGACACAATGAATATTGGTGCACACCATCACATCCGCCACGGCGCCAGTTCTGCCACACAAAATCGACGCCCACAAGCCTTGATGCCTTGGTACAGTTGCAACGACTCGCTGCCAATTGGTATTCATGAACGCCTTTGCCTTTTCGTGCCTGGCGCGGGAAAAATCAAGCAAGTCACGTTCTGAAATTCTCACATGGGACCCGTTGCGGCTTGACATATCGGGTTAGATGCGGTGCTGGACTGTTGAGTGAATTGTAGTACTACTACGGAGTAGCATGTACGTACCCGTTGACTATTAACTTGCCAACGGGTCTGGTAGGACTAATAAAAAAAAATTGACTCGACATTCGACCCCCCGAGAAATTCTCGTCGGCGATTTACTTACACGCCCCCTGCCAACTGGGTTCGTGGTGGAAGCCCAGCCAAACACTTGGGGCTTCTACTCCGTTCTCTACAGTATTTATTGCTGGAAGTACTACGGAGTACGGAGTACTGCAGAGAGACAGGGACAATCTGCGCAATAATCCCAGGAGGCGCAGCGCCCGCTGCCCTGCAACATTGCAGCTCGAACAGTCAGTCTGGTGAACCGTGAGTTCAACGAGTCCCTGGCTGTCTGGTTCTCACAGGCCACGGATTGCATCAATCATGCAGTGTTACAGGGGCACGCACAAGCTCTGAGCAGGGGACACTGAGACCCGGCCTTGCAAGATTGCATCTAAAAAAGCGAACATCAGTTATCGGGTTCATCGTGGTGTCTCTGGCCAAGCTCACACGCTGAGACCTTCGTGGTGATCCCCATGACTTGTTCATGTCCATGTATCACGGAGACACTTCACTTGTGAAGCTGTATGTCTACTGTACTCTGGACAGGCGCCAAATTGAGCCTTCTCTGCGTCATTTTGCATACTCGGCTTGCGGCTCTGGCCGGCTGCAGCTAGGGCTTCTAGCACCTCTGGCTAGGGCCCTTAGTCCCCGAATGCCTGGTGCCAGCCGCGCTGCAAGCACTGCCAATAAGTCAGGGGCCCGTTGTCACTGCCAATCTTGGAAGTGAAATTTTTTTGCACCCCCTTGTTTTGTTTTGGCGCGCCGCGGGTAGTACAATAATAGAAGAGTCTGCTGGACGGCAGGGCAAGCAAAAGCAAGCACAGCGGGCTATTTCAAGGTTCCGCCACCAATATTACCTCAGCTGAGATCGACTGTGTCATTAGGTCGGACGCGGCATTGGACCCGGCAAGGGCAAGGGTAAGGCCGTTTGGACGAGATGAGCAAATGCCACCCATTGCTCACCGACGCTACGGTTCAACTCCAGGAGGGAAAAGGAACAAATGTCCTCCGAATTTCCTGTCGTAGTCCGTACGGGTGTACGAGGGCTCCCTAATGCTGCAGTGGGTCGCTATAAGCATTATGTCCACTGCATAATAACCAGATCATCACTCCCCGACTAGTGGCCATCCAGGTGCTCGTCCGTAGGGGATGCAGTCGTCGGCTTCTCGAGACGAAGATATATCCGTGATGCGAAAACCTGCGGCATATGGCGCTGGAGGAAGAGCAAATCAAGTCGAATTTTGACAATATCTTTCGATTGCGGGTGGATTGTACTCGGTAGTTGACGACTTCCTCAGATCGATGAGGCTTGGGCGAGTCGCTTCTCGGGTGCCTTTTCTCTCTGAGTACTAAATCTCTCAGCCTGTCTCGTCTCGCTGGGTGATATGTATCTGGCTGAGCTGGTTCGGCAAATCCAGGTTTGGCCTGGGCAACATCGTTTTTTGCTCGTGATGTGCAGCTACGTGTCCGAGGGTGTACGACACTCTTTATATATCCTTTTTCCTGCCTTAGATTGGCCCCATGAATCGTGTGCGCCGGGCGTTTCCCTCGACATGAGAGTGTGTCCCATTGTTTATCGTCCTCATTCTCCCATCCGCTTTGCTTTCGTTGCTTCAGGCGTAGACACGACGGGCGTGTCCACCCCTTATCGTCAGATGTGAATAATATCCGCCGAGCTGTTTTTCACATAACCGAGCTCATTCTCTATCCGTGGTTGAAATCCACACATGTGGGCATGCACGATCCACCCACGTGTCAGGCGCAGTCGCTGGAAGACTTGTTGCGAGTTTCGAGCCTTGCTGTTACTCCGTACACCCATGGTATTCCGTCAACGGCAGCCGCCAAGTGGGCCACACCCTGTCGCAACTTGCACGGCTGTGGGTCCAAGCTGTAGCCTCATTGCCTCGTCCCATCCAGATCCGGGACTTGTGATCAAAGCTTATCAGTTTAATATCGCGCTCTGTTTTTTTCATGCCTCAGACAACCGCAGCCCTGATATCCACTGCAAAATTTTACCCACTCCCTTTTTCCGAGGACACGTCTTTCCAACGTAACTGGGACTGTATTATCGAATCGACATATTAGGCTGTGCCTTGGTATGTGCCATGTTCGAAAATTAACGTAACGTTAGTCGTAGGAGTTGCATTGGCGTTGGCGGAAGTAATGGTTCTTGTATTTGGAATTTGCGGTTTCGATAAGAGGTTTTTTTCGTTCCCAAGCATAAGCCAACCGTTCATGATTCATGGCCCACCAATGTAAGCGCGCAAACAGCAACGAGTACCTCAGGCCATGAAACTCCGTTTCTCTCGTTTCGCTCATCCATAGCTCGTAGCCCCCGTCATCATTTCTTCTGGTGTACCCACCCGGCTTCCCCCGAGAGGCTACCAACGGCCGTGAGAACCCTCCATTCTCCATCAAGATTCGTTGCTGTGAAAATCTCGCTGCCTCATATTCCAGCACCTCCGAAGCTGCCTCATTCTCCCCGTTGCCCCGGGCTGACTCTCGAACCCCCTTTGGCCCCATCCCCCCAGGTGGAACCCTTTTCTCCTCGCTTTCCAAGCTCCAGCCCTCCTCTCTTCCCTTTTCTTCCTCAGCTCTGCTCTCATTTAATCTTTATACACCTTTGCTTTCAACCTCATCAGTCAACTCCCACCCTCAAACAACCACTCCCCTCACAACCATCACAATGGCCTCTCGTGTCTTCGCCTCTCGTCTGGCCACCCAGATGGCCACCAAGGCTGCTCGCCCTGCCATCCGAGCCCCGGTTGCTGCTGCTTCCAAGCGCACCATCACTGGTAAGCCCGTCCCGAGGGAAAATTTTTTTTGCCCTAAATAGCCCAAGGAATATGAGCAATATCGAGTTGTGAGGAAGCCAATTGCCGAGGTCAACAAGCTAATGATGACAATGAAGGCTCTGCCAGCCCTCTCCAGACCCTCAAGCGCCAGCAGGCCACCACCCTCCTCCTGGCCACCTCCCGAAATGCTTTCCAGGTCCAGCGCCGTGCCTACTCCTCTGAGATCGCCCAGGCCATGGTTGAGGTCTCCAAGAACTTGGGTATGGGCTCTGCCGCCATTGGTCTGACTGGTGCTGGTATTGGTATCGGTCTCGTTTTCGCCGCTCTCCTGAACGGTGTTGCCCGTAACCCTGCCCTCCGCGGTCAGCTTTTCTCTTATGCCATCTTGGGTTTCGCTTTCGTCGAAGCCATCGGTCTTTTCGACCTTATGGTTGCCCTGATGGCCAAGTTCGTACGTAATCACCGAAAATATTGCAGCACCCACAATTCGTGTAGCATGAATCTGACCGCAATATCCAGACTTAAATATCTTCTCATTCAATTGAGAAAGCTCTTGCCGCATGATGGGGCTGTAATATCAGGAGGTTGAACTTGCATGATATCATGCAAAGTTTATAGGTGGCCGGTTATATGAGCGTGAGCTGCCAACCGATGGGAGAAGAAAAGGAGGGGGAACTGCATTATAGAGGACATAGAATTGGGAGCGGCGTCGAAGCAAAGTGATGCCGTCTGTGTGATAGAGCTGGGATAATCATCCGGCATATTCCTCCCAGGAATCGACTTGTAAAATAAAAAGCCTCATTTACCTCGATTCTTCGACGAATGAAGAGTTTTTTCCCTTTGTCAAACAATACATTTAACATTTCTTGACCATCGATTTATTGACGGAATTTTGATTTGAACTCGCGTGGCAGTGCTGTCATTGTCGCAATTGTATTGTCAATGTGCCAAAGTGAATGCTGACTTGAACCGCCACCGTCTAATCGATCCCTCAATATCCGGGGAAGTGTGTCTGGGTTTGCTTCTCATGCTCTGCCCCTGGACTCCATACCTGGCACTGGCCCCGTCGGTCTGAGGGCTTTGCCGAGGGTCAATTGATGCAGGGCGGCAAACACGACTACTAGTACTCTGTAGTAGTATCTCAATGTGTCCTTTCGTCAAACCTGCTCACGCGTCATCAGAGGGCGGGACTGTCTCCTTGTACCCTGTGGGAACGTGGTGCAATCGAGTCTTGCCCACACGGTGCCAACTTTCGTACCCGCTTCCCTGGCACTGGACCACGACCAGTTATCAATCGCACGAGCGATAGCAGAGGAGCATGAGTGGACCTGAAGCAGCGGAATGGCTCAAAGCATGTTGCAAGGGTCGTTATCAGGAATCACATATAAGCTGAAACCCCGGTTCTGAAAGTGGTGAATTGTCGCCCCGGGACGCAGTGTCATACTGGTGCTTATAACTGTCGTCGATTTGCAGCAGTTCCTTTTCATGTATCCTGTCATGATTTGGAACATCCTGAATGCTCTTTGGGATAGCACATCTAGTTCTGTGTTCTGATGATGGCTGACGTACTGCCTAGCCCTCCTTTCCCCGACGACCGACGACCAGACTCCTGCTGTGGTTCGACAGCTGTGGAAATGGTAGCATCATGTCCCGGATCAAGCTGAATGAAGTTGGCGCCTATCAGTATGCCTCACCGACGAGGAAATTGACACGCTCGCGAGATAGAGACGTAATATGACCGAGATATCGTTTCAAATTCCCCTCCGTGGTGGGACCTGTGAGTCCTCGTGTTGGTTGCACTGGGCGTGGAAAGCAAGTGTTTCCATGAATTGCCGCAAAGGTACAGCGAAGATGGATGTCCTGTCAGCCAGCTCGAACTGGACGTAACTCCGCCGGCATGTCATTTGTTATGACGGCCTATATATTGCATGGATGGCGGCCCAACTTGGTGTCCCATACCGGAAACTTCCCAGAAGAATGGCGAGTGACAGCAAGAGCTGACCGGAAACCTGGCAATGAAGCCAAATTGGAGGCAAACTTCCTCTGAAATATCCAGAGCGGTTTGAAACGTGCCATCTGCCCTGAGCGTCATCTTCGCTTGTACCACTTAGTCACTCACAATGCTTCAGTCAACAATGCAGCGTTCAGACTTACCACTTCAAAAAGTTCGGGGTGGAGATGCCATCGTGGTTCATCGTGGAGACCCCCCACGCAACTCTTCAGGCAGCTGTGGCTCTGCCCAACAATGTTTGATGCATTTCTCATGGCATTGGAGAGGTCAATGGGGCTGTGAAGTAGGAGAACCGACGGTATTGCAATTGTGAGCCAGGAAATTAGGCTGTCGTCTGCGAGAGGCGTCCCCCTCACTTCCCCCTCACAATTGCATCACATGACCTGCACCTACCCCAAACTGCCAGGCACAGGGGCACGAACACGGCAGTGGCTGGCGTTAGGCGCGGTTGCAATCTGGGGTACGGAGTCGTCGGAGCGATTTTGCAGAATTGCTGACATTTGATCCGGAGGTCTACATTCGCAGACAGAGGTGTTGCTGACCGTGCTGGGGTTGGAGGTTCGGCAGGAGAGTGAAGAAGGATGAAGTTTCGGGACTCAACAAACATATGGGAGAAGGCATGCCGTGTTTGAGGGAGGCGTGGTTGGATCGTATGATTGTATACGGAAAGGGCAACCTGCATGCAACATCAATTGATTGCCAGGTCCCTTTTGCACCACACACATTGCTTGACCTGCCAGGCGGCCTTCCTGCCGTCCCGTTCATTGTCTTTCATAGTCGAACTGCCAGCACTTCTCGTGCTCTTCTTGGCCCCGATTTCCGTGCAGACGGCCCCGTTCCACCAAGCTTGGAAGTACCGAATCGTATCGTCATGCCACTTTCCACTTTCCGACCGCTCCTTTCGTTCGAAATGTAGTGTTGATGCAACGTCTGGAAAAGTTAATAAGCATCAGTGATATATCAGGCGTGCATGTTGGCGGTAACACTAGACTTGGCTGCGCTACGAGATGCTCTGTGGCTGTATTTGCAAGAAATCTGCAGATGACGCTTTTGTTGTGGACATCTAGGAATGTGCCGACTTGTACTGCGGACGACAATACCAACAGCGACGACGAGTGTCTTTCTCCGTTAACGGCTAGATGAATTCCTTTTCGAGCAGCGTGATTGGTCTTCAAAAGCACCGATGTCGATTATGCACAAAATTGATTACTACACTTGATCACCTCCCATGCGGTCTTGTACTACTAGGTGTGGAAACATGTTGCAATAAATTCAATGGTACCGCACCATCCATTCTCACCAAGACTTACTCCATAGTATAAATATGCTACAATGATTTTATGCTTATTTGCAAATTGTTCATACTCCATTCCGCTACTTCTTAAACGTAGCACTCCTTTCGCCCCTAATAGGCGGCATTTTTCTCGCGCCCTTAATCTCATTGTCACCAGTCTTGGAATATGGATCAAACACCTTCTTCTGTTCTTTCTTCCCGCCCTGCTGAGCTTGTCCGCGATTGGCCTGCATAACGGATGGGGCCTTGGTGTAATCAAATGGCACAGCATTGTACTTCTTCTTTTGTTCCTCTTTGCCTTGTCGGCTTTTTTCTTGCTTTCTTGCTTTTCTCGCAAGTTTGGCTTCTCGTTTCTTGGCGATTTCGAGATCCTCTTGTTTTTTCTTCTGGCGGCGTTCTAGCTGGCGTTGCTTCTTGGTCTTTTTGGGTGGATTGTCTACTATGGATATGACGCCGTCGGAATCTGCAATAGGCATGTCCTTCTCGGTTGCTGGTGGCTCTGGCTCTGGCTCAGATTCAGATTCGGATTCGGATTCGGACTCTGATTCCGATTCGCCAGAGGATGACGTCTCGTCGTCTTGATCTGGCTCCGACTCAGATTTCCGCTTTCTGCCTGTCTTTAGAGTGAACTCTTCGTCAAGCTCTTCCATCTGAGCTTTCAGTTTGGGTGTTTCCATGGTTGAGGGAGCTTCTTCCACAACTTGATGGGCAGTATTTTCCTCCTGTGCTCCATCAACTGTAGCAGAATCCTGGACAAATCGCTGCCAAGGGAAAGGTATATTGCCCTCCATGTGTGTTGGCGATCCCTTTGAGTCTTCCCATCGCGAACTTATAGGCATGCTTCCGAAGAGCTTGGACTGAGCCATTATCCCCATTGAGACATTGGGTCCTTCCAGAATGGGCAGTTCCACACGCTCTCTAGGGAATTTTGGTAACTTGCTCTTAGTTGCTGACTGTGGCGCTAGGGTTGTGAAGAATTGCATTAAGCTTGGTCCGCCTCGGGTCTTGGCCTCTTGAACACGGGCCCAGATATCATTCAAGCGCGCTTTGGCCAGACGCGCTGTCAGAGGCAACAGACTGTGTAGAGCCTTGACATCGGGAGGATTGACGCGTGCAATTTCAGTGACATTGGTTGGTCCCAGTACGAAGTTGGGGCTTTCGTCTTCCTGCCGCGCCGTTTCGTCCCTCCACTTCCATAATGCTTTGAAGATGGAAAACTGCTCTCCATTCAAGGCGAGGTGGGAGTGCTTGAAAACGTAATTGTACCATCCTCTAGCTCCCTCACCTGTTGTCTCGTTGTAGTCGGGGTTTTCGTGCCGTGATAGCGCCAATTCTCTTGATCTTTCCAAAGCCTGGTTGATGTAGTCCTTTTCCGGGTCGCTTTTGTCCGAGGCTTCGATAAGCTCATTGCGGACATTATCATAGATGTAAAGAAGATAGTGCGTGTCTGACCGAGCGTAATACAGCATGTCTTCTGGGATGGGCCTGCAAAGCGTCAGTGCTATGGCTTTCATGTATGTTGTGGGCTGATGATATTTATCCTACCGTATTCTCCAGTCAGCCAGCTGGTACTGCTTGTCGGCATCAAAACCGACAAATTTTGAGAGCAAAAATGCCAAACTTCTGCCTGGATAGTTGAGAAGATTACAGGCAAAGTAGGTATCGAAAAGACCATTTACGTAAAGACCCAGGTCCCGTTGTAGCCAAACCATGTCCATGTACGCACCATGAAAGACCTGAAGAAGAGTCAGTCCGGGTGTTCTCAGTTTGTCGCTAGAAATCAAAACTCAGAAATCCCACCTTCACGACACTGGGGTCGGCAAAAACGTCGTTGAGGACCTCAAGCTTGTGACGCCATGGCTGCAGCGTATCTACAATCCAGTCCCGATCCCGAGTGCTAACTTGCATCAGGCAAACAAGACCCGTGTATGTGCGGAAATCGTGGTGTTCCAAGTCGACGGCAATCTCCTTGGCCTTCCTAAGTTCCTCCAACATCTCGAGAACTCCTTCATAGGTGTCTACCCACGTAGCTTTCGTTGAATCTATTGGTTGTGAGGGTATGGGATCGTGCTTTTGGAATACCCACTCTGGGTATTTCATGGTTGAGATTTCTGTTTCGTAAGGGTGCTTATACCTGTTATGACATGTTAGTCAAAGGCAGTTTAGATAATAGCGAATGGAGACGTACTGGGCTGTGCCATCTTCGCCTGGAGCAGTGAAGAGACTCTGTTCTAGTGAAACGGTAGCGTGAGGCTTGTTGGCGAGAATTGGTTTCCAAGGACCGGTAGGAAAGTTGTCGGGCTTCCTCTCGAACATGGCCTGGGGCTTGGTGATGTTTGCATTACGGACAAGTTTGCCGGTAGGCCTTGGCCTCTTTGCCTTGGGGCCCTGCAGAAGATATATCAGCCGAGTTCAGGCGGCTTATGTGTATGCATTTCTGCGCATGTACAGTGGCAAACTTACAGTATCCGCGCTGGGAGGTTCTTTTCGCTTAATCAAGCCAGTGTATTCGTCCACGGCAGTATCAGCCTTTTCGAGAACGGAATCCACAACGTCCTCAATAGACTGCCAACTCATGTCAATGTCCTCTACATCTTCGAGTCTCGGAGCCTTGACACCGCACGCCTTGGCTGCAGATTGAAGTAAACGTGTGGAAAGATGCAGGATGCGTGCCGACCTGTCGTCGAGTTGTTCCGCAACATCGGGGCTTACGGTTCGCAGGAAGCTTAGATCCTCAGCGGCTAGGCGATTGACGGATTTGACAGTGGATACGAGAGACTTTTGAATGCCCTCTTGTTGGGACTTGAAGTCCTGAGGCGCCTCCATGATGGCGGTTCGTGTGCTGACCAAGGTAGACGCGATGTTGTCGACTCGATGGCATTACTTGAATGGCAATCAAAAATTTGGGGTCGCAGAGCATTGGGCGCGTTATCGATAAGACGCACTTTACTGGTTGCATGCGCCCCACAGCGCGGGATTTGGTGCCATAAGCGCTGAGACTGAACGCGATGGCAAGTTGAGCTTCTCCATCTAACAACCCAAGGATGATTTTCTTCTCCAAAAAATAAAATAAAATCGGAAAACACGATATATAACAGCGAAATTAAAATCAAAGTTTACAAGACTACTCGGGCTAATTGACCAGGCGAGGAGCCCGCTGTAGATGTTACTCTCAACGTAGCCAGCCATGTTCAACCTACTTGGATGGCTTTGGTACATAACGCAGCTGGCTCTCACGCAATATACCATGACTCTATGCAGTATACCCTCGTCTAGTGTTGGATGTGGGAAACCTTGCTTTACTAGGAACTTTAGATTGGAAATGTGAATTCTTAGTTGCGCACATGGGACAAGACTGTCCTCACATTCTCTGGGTCCTAGCCGCCATTAATCCCAGGGGGATCACGACATTTGATTCCTCAAATATGATGGTGTACTCTTAAATTGAACGTTGTGGCCCGGGAAGCAACGTCTTTTTAAGCCGAAAACTTGAAACTCGTATAACAAGAGCAAATATAGAACCAGAATCTCTTTGAGTCATTGGTTGAAAGACTTGGATGTAGGATTCTTATGATATGTTTGGCTCTGACTCCATTTGAATCAATCGGCGGCATAGGGAATTGCAGACCATGGATAGCAACATCATCCCTCAGCGTTGTGTCGTATAATGTGAGCCTTGGCATATCAGGCCGGAAGATGTGCGTAACTGTATGGTATAGTTGCATGTATACAAGGCTGTATCCAGATATATCAGGATTTGGGCTGCATTATTACAAGAAGCCCAAGCTATCACCGAGGCGTTTACGATACCCGCAGACGAACTTTCTTGGTGCCGATGGAGGCGGTGGAGGTCATGACTTACTTTTGGCCAAGACAAGCCCTGCTGCCTTTTGCAAATGGAAAAAAATACGCTCGCATTGCTTTCAACTCTTCTGGAGGATTGCTGATCCTCTGACTGGGTTCAAACGACTCTGGGATTGGGAATATGACGGGTTCATTGTGCATCCAGTAAGTGGACATGGAGACTGGTGTCTGCCTTAACGCTTAGATATTTGTTATTTTGAGAAACTTGCCGAGATACAATCAAGAGGACACACTCACCCCTTTTGGTTGCAACCGGCCACACACCTCGATGTCATCATGTGGGAATACGCGAGGCGTGCGATTCATGCCACCGATGGCCATTCTATCATGACTAAAGTTAGCATCCGGAAATCTGGGGGATTAGACAGTCAGATACGGCGCCTGCTCCAATTCGACCCAGGATGGTTGACCTTTTTTGCTGTCATGCCGCGCCCAAATCACCCCAAGCGCTTTTCTCAAAGGCTCTAGTTTCTTCTGGTCGAGGAGCAAGTACACAACCATGGTACTGAGCGTGTGACACGTTGGAAGAAGCATGATGACTCGAGGTAGTCAACGTGACACAAAGAGACGCTCTAGGTATACACAGAGTTGTAAAGAGTTGAGCTTCGGGCCCCGTACAGATGTTGGAGCGGACTATCACTGCCTAGATGTTATGCCCTCGGGATGTTACGGAGCGCAAGGCAGGACCAGCTCTACGGAACATTGACCGAGCCAACTCAAAACCACTGCCTTAGGCTTCATATGCAGAGAAATAGGGCTTGGTTACACTGTTGCTCTTTGAAAATTTCTGAGACCTGGCCGGCTGGAAGGAGTACCGAATTCCCAACGAGTCACAGTTTGGGCTCCTGCCATGTAGTTATCGTCCTACTACTTCAAAGACCAACGATAACGGTTTGAATATTCCATAAGCTTGCCCGGTTCGTCTGCAGTGGAACATACCTAGGTATGTGATGGGATAACCTTGGCCAAGTCTTGGTTGTTAATATTGCTGCAGGTAGAGGTTATTGTGCACCTCTATTACACGGATTCGTTAGGCCGTGCGCTATTTCTCCTGGCATAGTCTCAGATTGGTGTTGATAACACATGCGCTAGCATATTGGCGCCGTTCCGTATACTTGGCAACTAATAACTACCATACTCGGTGTAATCGTAAGGATGATGTCGAGATGACTGATTCGACGAGCTCAGGTAACCATTCAGCACTTGAGGAGCTTTATATCCGCTGTGGACCCTCTAAGCCTCGTCTTGGTTAGGCGCAGCCGCTACCGACCAACGACATGTCTGGAGCTACGTAATATTGGAAGGACATGGACCAAGCTTAACCCCTCCAACGCTCCTTCCAAAGTCCAGACGTCACACCCCCTCCAGATGTCACAACAAAGAAACAGAAGAGGGGAGCTCCAGGGCTTCAAATCTCTGCCCGCCATCCATTCCATAAAATAGCCTCTGGCGCTCTAATTGTCCGAAACCACCCCCAGAGCTCCTCCAGTAGCCCATAATCGACGCAATACACACCGCACAGCTCTCCCGAGTCCTCGAATAGCCAGCAATGACTGCAGACACCAGTGTCGCAGATGGCCTTGCGCCAGAAATCCACGGCCGGCTCCTCCTCCTCTCGAACCGTCTCCCCATCACCATCAAGCGCTCCGATGACGGCAGCTACACATTCTCCATGTCCTCCGGCGGCTTGGTCACCGGCCTTAGCGGCCTCAGCAAGACCACTAGCTTCCAGTGGTACGGATGGCCGGGTCTCGAAGTCCCTGACAATGAAGTCGCCGACATGAAGCAGCGCCTGAAGGACGAATACGGCGCGCACCCAGTATTTATCGACGACGAGCTCGCCGATAGACATTACAACGGATTTTCAAGTTTGTCCCCTCCCAAATTCTTTCCTTTCCACGGTCTACACCAAACAGGACCAGGCCAAAAAAAGAAAACCCAAAAAAAAAACCACTAACATTGCATTCTATCAGACTCCATCCTCTGGCCCCTCTTCCACTACCACCCCGGCGAAATCACCTTTGATGAATCCGCATGGGCAGCCTACCAAGAAGTAAACCATCTCTTCGCCCAGACCGTCATCAAGGACGTTCAAGATGGCGACCTCATCTGGGTCCACGACTACCACCTCATGCTCCTCCCGCAGATGCTGCGGGAAGAAATCGCCAAGACCAACAAGAAGGTCAAGATTGGCTTCTTCCTGCACACGCCGTTTCCCAGCAGCGAAATCTACCGTATCTTGCCCGTTCGTGAACCTCTGCTCCGCGGCCTGCTGGACTGCGACCTGATTGGGTTCCACACGTACGACTATGCACGTCATTTCCTGAGCAGCTGCTCCCGCATCTTGGGCACGCATACCACGCCCAATGGCGTCGACTGGAACGGACGCTTCGTCACCATTGGTGCGTTCCCCATAGGCATCGACCCGGACAAATTTGTCGAAGGGCTCAAGAAACCGTCTGTGCAGGAACGCATCGCGACACTGAACCGCAAATTCGAAGGTGTCAAGTTGATTGTCGGCGTCGACAGACTGGATTACATCAAGGGAGTGCCACAGAAGCTGCACGCCTTGGAAGTATTCCTAACCGAACACCCTGAATGGATCGGCAAAATCGTTCTCGTCCAGGTCGCCGTCCCCTCGCGCCAAGATGTGGAAGAGTATCAGAATCTCCGCGCCGTGGTCAACGAGCTCGTCGGCCGCATCAACGGCAAATTCGGCACCATTGAATTCATGCCCATCCACTTCCTCCACCAGTCCGTCTCCTTTGACGAACTAACCGCCCTCTACGCCGTATCAGACGTATGCCTCGTCTCCTCGACCCGCGATGGCATGAACCTCGTCTCATACGAATACATTGCCACGCAGCGAGAACGCCACGGTGTCATGATTCTCTCCGAATTCACCGGCGCCGCACAGTCTCTTAACGGGAGTCTCATCGTCAATCCATGGAACACGGAGGAACTGGCCAATGCCATCCATGATGCCGTCACCATGAGTCCTGAGCAGCGGGCGGCGAACTTTAAGAAACTGGAACGCTATGTCTTCAAGTACACCAGCGCATGGTGGGGAACCAGCTTCGTGTCTGAAATGACTCGCCTTGATTCGAACAATGTCCAGCCCAAGACGTTGCGGAACGTGTCTGGCGCCGTTGTTGGGCCGGGCCAGGACGAAGATGAGGCTGTTTCGCCTACGCAGAACAACCCATGAGCACTCATCGTGTCTTTGTTCTGGGTTGGGTATTCTAGTCTGGGGCGTGATTAGACTTTACTCTATAACTTATAAATGTCAAATGAACGGGATGGGAATGAGCCGGGGAGGGAGGAAAAAACAAAGAGTCATTTAGCAATGTAGCGAATGGAGTTACGGACTAGCATTTAATAGTTTTTTTGTTTTTCAACTTTGATTCGTGCGTGCTGCTATCTAACTAACTACATACCTGGGATGAAGAGCCGTTATAACCCGCGACGTGAAGACGAAAGGAAACCTCGAACGTTTATTCCCCACATTGAATCCCAAGACAAGATAAAAAGGTTACAGACACAACCACAGAATAGGATTGGCTTGGATGAAAGTTCTGCAAATTTGCAGTTCATGGTATCAAAAAAAAAGGGCATCCCTTCATAAATAGACAAGTGGAATTCGGCCGCGCGTACAGCTCGAAACACGCCCCTCACCAGCCATTCATTACTTAATAAGGCGAATTCACGATATCGTCTCTTCCCAACTTGTATCTCCCGCTCTGACTATTGCTAATCCGTCCTGAGCTGCGCCGACCACCGCTCAAACGTAAATCGCCCATGATGCTCTCTCGTGTGGGCTTGCGTAGGCTTTGTTTAGCCACCATGTTGACTTCGTTGGGCAGCGCTACAATGACGTTCTTGTCGGACCCAAACTTGAAGTCGTCCGCCTTGACTTCATCCTGGTAGCGCTTGATCTTATAAGGAGTCTTTACGCCGCGGAGGAGTTTCTTGAGATCCCACTCGACGATATAAGGTCCTGTAGCAGTGATGATGCTCTTCTCTTCAGCGCCCTCTCCAGCGTTGAACTTGGCCGGTGTAAACGATACAGGCTTTCCCGTTTCATGGTAAACCTGCGCAACATGCTCTGGGGTCAGGGCAAGACGGCGAGGGCGGGGCTTGGAGTCGGCTGAGAAGCCCTTCTCAAAACCAAGCTTGCCATCATTCTTGCCACCCTTCTGCTGAGCATCAACCAGCAAGATGTAGTTCTTGGTAGTTCCCAGAATCCATCGACCATCGGCAGAAACATCCATGCCAATGATGGGATCACCCAGAGCAGGAAGCTGTGTCTTGGCGCGAATTCCCAGGCGGTCAAACAGGCGAATGTCGCCCTTATTGCTTGCCACAGCAATGTATCCCTTCTCGGTGGTAGCCAAAGCCGAGAAGTCGTTCTTGGAAGCATATTGCTTCATGTCAGTGTCCACAAGCTTGTTGCCAGACAGACGAGGATCGACACGGTACAGAGCATTACTGGACACACCAAGGAAGGTCTGCTCCGACGACATCTGGGCGAACTTGTTCTCTGGAGCAAACGTGACGACGGGTATATCATCGTGGACTTTCCACTCGTCAACGACCTTGCCGTATTCGATATCCATACGGTATAGTTTGTTGGCATCGACGCCATTTTGTATGATGAGATCCCGATCTTCGCTGTGCAACATGACCTTCTTGGGGCTCATGAGCTTACCGCCTGGAGTGGTAACTCTGGAAATGTTGGTGTTGAATTTGAGACGATTGTCGGCCGTATGAGAAAACACACCAATCTTGGAACCGCGAACGACAAATGAGCGGTCATGCTTGTAACCCACCGCCAGTTGTGAGTTGATGTCACCACCGGTTTTCTCCTCATCTGCTTCCTCGTCCTCTTCAGATTCGTAATCGTCGCTGCGGATGCCGGCGTCTTCCTCTTCCTCATGCTCCTCTTCCTCCTCTTCCTCTTCTTCTTCCAGCGGCGGCGCATCTTCCATGTTTAGATCGCCAAAGGCGTCAAGCACATATTCACGCTCCTTTTCTTGCACTTTGGCCCATTTGGTTTCATTAAGCCTCTCCCAGATGGCTTGCATGATTGCCTCCTGGAACTTTTCCAGAGTGGGCTGGTCCTTGAACCGAAGAAGCCAGGACCTGGCGGTGCCATCGCCGCTGAAGTGGTTGAAAACGAATGAAAGATACTCAAAGTCAAATACAGGGTTGAACTCGGGCACGACTGAGGTACCGACCCATGATCTTTCCTTGCTTTCGATTTGGAGCCAATATTGCCATTGACCAACCTCTGAAACAGTAGCAATCACGGAGTCATCAATGAGTTCAAAGTGACCCGGCTGTGGATCAAAGAGATGCAGTTCGGCGGGTAGCGATGCGTAGATCTCGAGAGGTTCCGGAGCAGAGTCAGGTTCAGGTGCTTTTGATTGTCCGCTGCCCTTGGTTTCCGGTTCTAGCTCTGGCTCCAGCTCCGGCTCCGACTCCGCCTCTGGCTCTGGCTCTGGCAGTGAGGCGGCAGCGGCGGCAGCCAGAGGTTCTCTCTTGGCGCCCGTGTTAGCAGCCGTCTTCTTGGCGTACATGTCGTCGACAGACTCAATAGATCGGGCAAGCACGGGGCTGTGAAGTGGACTGGCAGGAGGAATGGGGTTTTCGTCGTGGAACTCGAACTGCTGGTAATCCTCGTCAGAAGCGGTGGTATGCGGCTTGCGGTACTTGCGTTCGTATTGACACTGCTGAGCAACTTGAACAAACTGTTCGACCTGCGCGGTAGGCACTTGAGTATCGCAAACGAACTCGTAGAGATCGCCGTTGTCGCCGCTCAAGTCTCTCCAAGCAAATACAGTTTCACCACCCTCTCTGCTTTCGACTCGGAACCGAAGAGCTTCGTCTAGCAAGAATGTCTTCTCGTCACGTTCGGCGGCAAGAGCGTCAATCTCAGCGTCTTCGCCCTCTTCGTCGGCAATAAGTTCGGCCTCGCCTTCCTCAAAGACCCGCTGGACGACAAGTTGGTAGTGGAAATCCTGGTTGGTTCGACGGATACGAATGGCCGAGTCCTTGAAAATGAGCTCGGAATAGCCCTTGGGCGACAGTGGTCGAACGAGATAAAGCTGACCCTGAGGCAGCTCGATAAGCGCTTCTTGGGTGCCGGAGCCGAAGATCAGCTTGCCAACTGTGGGGAAAGAGGGACTCTGTTAGCTTTGGGGAGAACTGGTAGTCTTGGCAACGAAACAAGGAAGAGTTTTCGATGAATGAGCAAAAGCAGAGGAGAGATGTCGAAGCGGGATAGATTTTCAAGTCATTGTCAAGCTTCCTTGGCTTTATGAAAGGCAGGGGGCCAAACGTAAGTGTGTGTGCGTGTGTGTTTGTGTGGCCAGAGGAGAGTACATAATTAGGACAGACAAGGATAACAGGAGGGCACCAGAAAAAAAAAAGAAAGCAAGACATTTGCACCTCCTCATGGTGGTTGAAATCACTTACCATTCCGCAGCATGAACATTCTGTCCCCCTTTTTTGTTTTATTTCGCCGTCTGTGCCGGGTATTATATCTTTCTTTCCGTCCTGGTTTTGTGCCCCAGCGTCCAAAGTACAGACCAGGTAGAACCCCTCCTTCACTTGACAAGTGTGAGCAGCTGGCGGCGTGACTGCAGCTCGATGGAAAACCGTTCTAAGCGAAGGACAGGAGCCAGGCGAGGAGAGTATGCGAGGCAGGAGACAAAAAAAAAAGAATAAACACGACGATCAAGCTTCCTGCACGACAAGCGTAGGCAGAAGGACGTCGTTCACGAGGAAGCAAACGCGATGATGCAAGCGGCAAGCTGTGCAAGCCAAGGTGGGATGGTGCGGTGGCATTTACTGGCATCTACTAGCGGAGTGCTGGGATTGGCACTGGGGCCAGGGTCCCAGATGTCTGGAAGCATGGCTAGCCAGTGACTGGTTGAGTGGCCCAGGCTACAGATGGGAGGCCTTCTTGGTGTTAGTCTGGTGTGCCAGAGGGTGCGTCATAACACCACCCACCAGACATGTGCGGCCCATCAAGTCCACGCGTGGCCTGGTGGCATCACGTGCGTCAAGCTAAGGTGCCTTGCTGCCTTGGAGCCATCATTGCTTTGGTGTGTGATGATGATCAGAACCCAGCTGGTGTCCATTCAATAGGCCAGACCAATAACGTCATTATGCAAGGCACGTAATCGCCACGCAAAGGGGCGGGAAAAAACAAGGAATACTACAACACCGCGTCTTGCCGTCGCGATATATGCGTCGTGCCCTAAAATGAGTTGGCGTCGTCGGCAACTGGTTCTCACGCATTGATGCCCTGTCACGAGTCACAACTGCCACGGCCTCCCACTCACACCTGAACAAAGCCAGGCAAGGCTGGCCGACAATGCTTGGGCTGAAAGCCGGCTTTGCTGATCGACCTCTCACCACCACCACATCGATTGTCTGGCTGGCTTAGTACTACTACTTGCACACGCCAGCGCGTCATCGCACGGACAGTCACGTCAACCACAACAAACATTGCTGCCCTGCACACGTCTATACCATAACTCCTCCGTACCCATGTACGTAGCGTAAATGGGTGTCGTACCAATAGACATAGACGAGGAAAAGACAACCAACAAGGTCCCCATCCATGGACACGTCCTGGTTTGGCACCCTGGTGAAGCCAAAGGTAACCCCGAGGAAAAGCGATGACAAGACGAAAGACGTCCTATTCGTTGGAGTGTGTGCAAACCGTCTCGCTAGACTTGCATGTGGTAATTTCCATCGGCCTTGCGGCAAAGTAACTTTGCAGGTGGCATTGCGAGCCTGAACAATGATATTATTGACCAGAGGGTGAAATCGTGCAGCCACCCGTCCGCTATCTGATGTATATGCGCACATTTTCAATATATTTCAACACGCAGTTTACCACATTCTAGCCAAGTCCGTGTCCCCTAATCATTCGCCATGGCTACCGTGTAAACATTCCCAATCAACAGCCATCTATACCCACCATTCCCCGCACTCTAGTATCAAAAGAGAAAGAAAGAAAAAACATCAAAGGGTATCCTAGCTCTTCTAAAGTTCATCTGCACCCGGAAAGTTCATACTGGCCCCCATCTCGCTGTCCATACTATCCCAGAAATCTTCCCTTGGAGGCCTGGGACTTGTGTCCTGCGAGGCGGTGTCCTTGTTGCCTCCTCTGCTCCTGGTGACGCCGGCAAAGTCATCTGCCATGAGACGAGCGACATTCATCCCCATGAGGGCGCTAGTCTCCATGGTTGAGATGAAGCTCTCCACTCCAGAAGTATAGTATAGGCCTCTGCCGACAATGGGATCCTGGAAGGTGACGCGCGGGGATTCAATCGGGTACGAGTAAAACCAGTGCGGGTAGTACCATGAGATGGGCTCTACTTCGCCCGTAGTTTCGTTGCATATAAAGCAAGACGGAACTGGTGTGCCGAGGATATCAGACAGAAAAGTTGAATTGACCGGCTCGGCTGAGAAAATCTTGTAGAGGAACTCCTTCCCTTGTGTCTTGGGATTTGTGACTGTGCGCAGGGTGCTGATGGAGTAAAAGCCGGTACGGCCGACTCCCTCCGGGCCTTCATGAGCTTCCTCGTCTTTGCCGAGAGTTGTGTATACATTGCTCGGAGCCTTTGTCCCTGCTTCAAGACCGAAGAAGCTTGGCTGCAATAGGAAGGGAGAGGTGAATAGAGTGACGTGGAGCTTCATATAAGGGATCGTATCAATACGATGTTTGATTACTCCCTTGGCAGCTTCGATGCCGCTGAACTGCCAGGGTGATGCGATTATAACATTGTCAAAGGCGGTGGGCAGCTTGGCGGCTTTTGATGTCGAACCCGACGATTTCGTCGAGATTAGATACTTGGGAGCAGATCCAGGCTTGTCGGCACCCTTTTGAAATGCGAGGGTGGCAACAGAAGTGTTGGGATAGTAGACTGCACCACTGTGCTGAAGCAGCTTCTCAAAGATTTGCCAATTACCTCCAGCAACGGCGACGGCACCCTCGGTAGAGAACGACACCTACAAGAAGATGAGCAACCTGGTCAACTGCCAAACGCATTGTAGCAAAAAAAAAAAACTCACCATTGCCTCTAAACCGTGGATGTAGGCCATGTTGGAGGCATAGTTGACCCGTGTAGCCGACTGCATGAGGTCTCGAACAAAGTCCGGGTTGATCTTGAACAAGAATTTAGCATCGAGTTTCCAGAGCGCTATACACGGCATGCCTTTTCTGTCGCAAACTCACATTGTTATCTCTCAGATACTGCTCGCCCGTCACACCCGTCAACCTTAACAACCCCAGCTCAAAGGCCCTCTGCGTCAACGACCGAAACGGGAAATACGGCGTCTCATAAAGGCGAAGAAAAGTCCCGACGGCGCTCTTGACCAGCTGCACAGCCCTGTACGGCGCCAGGCCATACTTCAGAAACAGCTTTGCAGCATCCCACCACTTGGAAGCACCTGCCTCTGACCGAAACAAGATGGTCTTGCCATCCCAAATAGCTGTGTAGTCAGCAGGCTGGGGTTCCGTCAACCCCGTCAGCGACAAGTCGAAGTCCCGAGTAGCATTGTACATGATGTGGTTGTCCTTGATGAAGATGGATGCTCCGAGCTCCACGGGCTGCCCGGGGTCGTTGAAGGCATTCACGGTGACGGTACGACCGCCGATGTGGTCAGTCTTTTCGAAAACCGTGATATTGACAGCCAGACCTTCTTCCTCGGCATACTTTTGCAAGTGGTATGCAGCTGAAGTGCCGGCAGCACCGGCACCTGTATATTTGCCATGTCAGTAAGTACGCGGCCAACGTCACAGCATGTTGCTCCCAATCTGTCTGGAGCTTTCCGGTCCAATCCAGCCCCAGATTCCGCCCATCCTCAAAACCCATCCAAGAAGGATTATCTACGTACCGATAATAGCGACATTCTTAACCTCCTTCACACGACGGGGGTGGTTCGTCGCATCCCGTGCCGCAGCCGCCGCCGCCGTGGCGAGAGCCACCAGCTTCAGTAGTGGGAGATGCATCGTGGACACTTGCTGACCGGCTTGACTCGGAATGCTTCGTGCAAATCAAGCAGTGACATGTGCGGACGCAAGGACTCTGCGGAAGAGAAAAGGCGGTGGGAGGAGGGGTCAGAAGAGGAAACGGCAATGCAATCAAAGAATCGCAAAGCAAAAAAAAAAACTCTGAAAAGTTAAAGGGATACGTCGTATCTCTTGTTCTCGCGCAATAACGCCAATGTTTGCTACAGGCGCCCCATGTTTTGGACTGTTGGTTGTAGAATGTCAGCAGCAGAGTGTACAGAAGGCTCCAAGCTTGCGACGAAAAAAGTGGGCACAGGGACGTGGGGTCGGTGCAGATGCCGGCCCCACACTGCGCCGATGCCTATCATGCCTTGGTCTAGCTAGTCCTTGGCAAACTAGCACTTACTGAAGTAGGCTAGCAGCTACCCCACAGGGCAGTAGCTCTAGCCGTGAAACAAGCATGCAGAGCATTTTGGTACTGCGCCGACTTGACATTCGCAGACTTCATCTTCCCCGACATCAAGACCGTTTAAATCATTTGAGTCATAGAAAATTGATAACTCCATTTCAGCGCTACACTAGCATCCATCGCGTTTTAGCCTACCAGAGCCAGTTTTCCCTTGTCGCAAACAACGCTTCCGCAATCTTGTCCATGGCCTCTGCCAGACATATAGATATGGACCAGCTGTCCAAGGGGAGGGAACCTTGAACATGACCAAAAAAAAAAGGGTTTCCCAAGTTGTACACAAAAATGCCTTAAAACACCTTGCCGCATGCAAATTGGGCTTTGTCGCAATGGACTTTGCGCCACAAAATTCAACGCAAACAGACCCCAGTAACATCTCCCGAATCTCTGGTCGCCAAATATGTCTATCGCCCGCTGTCAAGAATGTATAAAAAGAAGATATACGTCAGAGAAAGTAGCAGAAGAAGACAAACTAAATAAAAATGGGTACAAGGCTTCGTAATTCCAATAAAAACTCAACTATCGACAAGTCGTGAGTTCCGTGTTGCCAGCATGCAATCATGCCGTCAGGATTGCGCGTTAATGTCAACTCTCTTCATCGCTGGTGCTGTGGCCACTTTCCACTCCTCCTGCGGTTGCGGCCGAACTGCCGCCGGTTCTAAACACGGCATCGGCGCTGGCACTTTTACTTCTGCATCGAATGCTTCCAGGTGCGGCCTCTGCGCTGCCAATAGACGGGCGCTTGGCACTGACAATGGGACGCTTGAAATTGGGCACATCATCCGTGTCCATTCGCTCATACATCCCATTGGCGGCATCATCCTCGTCAGGCTCTTCGCCATCTTCGTCCCCGCTGCTCAAGTCCACACCATCAGGGTAGCCATCTGACTGATGTGGATTGACAGCTCGGCTCATCAGCTCTTCTGAAGACTCCAGGGCGTCGTCATCATCCTCAGAGCCGAATTCATCATCCCCCGAGCTTGACGTGTCCGTACTAAATGGCGGGAGGAAAATGACCGGTGGAGGCAGCGGCACTGGAGCAAGACGCTTGATCCTACCCGACATGTAATCAATTTCAACAGGGTAAACGTTTTGCTGACTTGTGGCAAGCGGGGCAGGTGATGAAGTTGACATGCTTGCTAATCGACTGATGATAAACTCAGTGGCTTCCTCCGATTTTCTTGGTAAATTAGACTGGTATTCTGACGCCGTAGCATCTGTCATGGGTCGTTTCGTTGTTACGACGACCATGAAGTGGTCATCCGGCATAACGCCTCCCAGACCGCAAGGCTCCAGCGGATGCACTTCAATATACTGTTGCGCAGAGGACCATGGAAACTCGGAATCGGGGATGCTTGATTCGGAGTCTGAGTCACCTGTGAGATCCGGGACACCGTCACTGCTGTCAACGTCCATCTTCACGCTGGTGTCAATACAATGATTCCGTTCGCTAAGTGGACGGTAACCCAGGGAAGAACCAGATGTGGATCGGTGAAGCATCGGGCGTGAAGATTGTCCTTGGGAGTCTTGGCGGTCTTGGCCGCTGGACAGCATGTATGTTGCAGGAGATGTATCACCAGGGCCACCAGAAAGGTCAGTGCAGAACGGCGCGCCGCTATAATAAATAATAGCACCGTCATGGCGACGCTTCCGACGATTCGACGTGCCAGAGCCACTCAGGTTCCATCGTGAATCGTCTCCATTGCTATCGTCAATGGGTCCGAAGGACGACAAAGTTTCGTCCAGCGATGTCTCTCCGTTGGGGGAGCTATTGTGAACAAAAAGCGGCTTGTAGTGGAAGCTATCCGATGAAGCGGACACCTGAGGGCCGAATTTGGAGCGATTTTTTGAACTTCCGCCGGACTGAACATCATCTGCTGTGGAGTTGCCAGTCTTTTGCCTCTTGCGTTGACCCGACTCGGAATCTTCTGTGTCTGCGCTCCTCTGAGAGCTCTCATTCGAACTGTCACTGGAGAACCTGGTGCCATCCCGACCACCTCGCCAACGAATCTTGCGGCCGTCGGGTGAGAGCTGGAACTTGGTACTAATTTCGTTCACGGCAGATCGTACGAAGCTTGGCGTAACATTGATGATGTGTAGCTGTGCCAAGTTGCACAGCAGATTCAAGTACACCCAACCCTCAGCATCTGGCTGCACGTCCAGGTTATCCTTTTTCGACTCTGTTATAAGCTCTGGAGGAACTAAGCCCAGATGACGAATATACTCCATATTTTCAGAGGGAACTTGAGTCCGATCCGGGTCCAGATCCTTTACGCGTGTGGGTCGCTGGTCAGGGACGGGCGGTTGGGTTGGCGAGGTGTTGGTTCCTGAGCCACTGCTGTTTCCGTTGCCCCGGGACTCTGTCTGATCGCCGTTGGAGTGACAAGCCGAGCCATTATCTCGCGATCGACTTTTCTTGCAAGAGTGACCAGATTGTTGTTCCGGGGGTAAAATCTTGGCTTCCCGTGACGGCTCTGAATTTCCGGCGGCGGCGGCGCCGCCGCCAGCGGCATTATTGGTAGCAGGTGTAGGCTGCTGCTTGGCTAGATGAGGTTGAGCTTGAGAGTCAACATCGGCTGATACCCCATCTGCCTCGACTCCATCGGTTTGGCGATGTCTGGCTCGGCGCGCATGCCGGCCCGCAATCTTCCCTGTAAATAATTGTTCCAGGCGTCGTACCACCAACTTCTTTCTGTCCCTGTCGGTCAATATCATGTGGCGTGGGTACAAGCCCTCAGGGATGTCGCGCAGGTAGTTTTCTACCTTTTGGTCGGACCTGACACGCGAGCCGACACTTGGACGGCCGAGCGACGCTCCAGTTGAATTAGCAGCGCTCGACATGGACGCATATGCAGAGTCTACAGGTCTAGCATTGGAGCCAGACGAAGAGGAGGCGTGCTTAGAAGCGGATCCCGAAGCCGAGTACATGTGGTCACGCGTGGCGTGTCGCAATGATTTCTTTCGCTGAGACGACGAGGCATCCGGAGAGTCTTCAATGCTAGCCGCGAAGTCACGCAGCGTTGTTTCTAATTCTCGTCTCCTACGCCTTGGTAGACCATGGTACTTGATTTCGAAGAGCTTGTCCTTTCGCAGCGTTTCCGGACCCTTTTGCTTGTACCTCTTCAATTCTTCCTTCAGCTTTTGAATTTCGACGGTGAGATCGTCAATCACGCTGCGATAGTCATCCGCGCTGCTACTCTGGCCGGTGGCGAGCCGCGGAGGAGCCGGGTGTTGGAACTGGTATGGCTTGTCTTCATTTGACGAGTCCGACTCTTTCTGGAAGAAGGGAGGGTCAACTGCGACGAACATGTTAGTCATATCAAGCCAGACTGCAAACATCATGTGTAGAGTGACACAAACCATCCATACCATCCATGGCGCTGTTGTCAAACGTTGCAGTCGGGTTTTGGTTTGACAAATCAAACCATTTTTTCGGGTCGCTCTGGCCCGTTTCGTGGCTCTCCCCGGAGGAATTACGGCGCGGCGAGCTTGTTACATTGCTTGGATTCGCCGCCGGCGACGAGCCGGGACTCGCTCTGAGAGAAGCATCGCGGGCGAGTTGGTGATGCTTCAAGGTTACCGAGTTTCCTGGCGAGGCCCGTCGTGGTAACGGGTGGCCCAACGGACCTGTCGGCGGGGGAGGTTCTGTGCCTTGTGCGTTTCGATTCTGCGATAGCATCGTCGATGCATGAGAAGATTTTAATGATAAATCGGGACGCGTTCGTCGTTGGGCCAGCTGAACATTTCAATGTTCTCCTCGAGATCTGAAGTGATCAAGCGCTCGTCTACTGGGCCGCTGCCTTCAAAAGGCGCACCTAGGCGTTGTCAAGACCCGGGGTCGACAGATGTGACGTATGACTGCTGATCACTTCTCTGTAAAAGATTGTTTCTGCTTAACTGCATATATGGCTTTGTTAGTGGCATGCTGAGTGCGTATGTACATACAGCGCGGTTGTAAGGGGGGGATGGGCGGAATGAGGGGCTGGACTGGCTATTGGTGGGCAGCGCCATTGGCGTTCTAGCCCTGGGGCTGCTGAAAGCGGAGGCTACATATGCGACAAAACTGATCAGAGTGATCGATCGATCGTCGCGTCGCAACTGCACCGCTCCAATTATGCCGTGTTGAGCAGCTTCTGTCAATGGCTCACCTATTGCGACCCAATACCGCTCTGCTACAGTCGTCGACGACTGCTGGAAATGTGGAATAGATTTCCCGGCGGTTTGAGCCGTTCAGACGTCGTCGTGCTGGCTGACTATCAACCGTCAAACTTGAGAGATGGGAGGTCAAGCAGCCTGTGCGGTCCAATGCATTAGCATGTCAACTACTCATCATGGTTGTTTGTTGACGTTGGGTATCGAGGGAGTAAATGAGCTTTTCGGTGCACCAGCAATGTCGGGACTTTTGGCCTTACCTTGAGCTCACACAAACGATTGATATATTTAGGGGTGCTCGTATAGCAGTGTACTAAAAAAAAGTAATGGCTTCGAAAACCTGCGATGTGACGAGCAGCGTTTCGATGCTTGATGGGTGTCG